AGAATGCTGCTTGGAGCTATACAAGACATGAGGGAAGCATTACAGAAAAAGGATGAAATGATAGAGGAATTAAAGGCTATGCACCAAAAGGAAATACAGGAGTTAAAGGGCGAGATAACAAAAACTAACAGCAAACTCACGGACTTCACTCAGAGAATGGAGGAGGCTGAAACCCGCACCAGTGATCTAGAGGATTCACAAGCAGAAATTAATAATCGTGAGAAAAAGTCTAACAAGTCCATCAGAGAAGCTGAAGAAAACCTCAGAGCTATGTCTGACACTATGAGAAGGAACAACCTTAGAATTATTGGTGTGGAGGAACAATCCACATCAAGGAAACCAACATCCAAAATAGTGATGGAATGCTTGGAAGAAAATTTTCCTAACTTAATGAACAAAAACCAGGCAACTATTCAAGAGGCTGAAAGAACACCAGCTAGACTGAATCCCCAGAAGAAGTCACCAAGACATATAGTTGTTAAACTGCAAGACATATAGTTGTTAAACTGTCCAGCTATGAGGTAAAGGAGAGTATTATGAGAGCAGTCAGAGAAAAACAGGCAACCATATATAAAGGCAAACAGATAAGAATATGCTCAGACCTGTCAGCAGACACTATGAAGAAAAGGAGACAGTGGAGCAGAGCAGCATATTCCAAAAATTGCAGGAAATTAACGCAAACCCAAGAATATTGTATCCTGCCAGAATATCGTTCAAAATAGATGGACAAGTGAGAGTCTTCCCAGACAAGGAAAGCCTCAAAGAATATGCTAAAAGGAACCCAGGACTACAAAAGATCCTCACTGACCCAGCATGGGCAGAAGAACAACACTCACCAAGCACATACAAGAGGCCACCACACAGAACAACTCCACCCAGAGACCATTAAAGGGAAAACAGCCCCCAAGATAAAACTGGCACAGCGATGGAAAGAAGGCAAAAACAAACCGCAAACACACATATACACAATCCACGGTAAAGAAATAGAGGTAGGAAAACACCCAAACAAGAGACATAAAATGACATCACAGGGTCCACAGATAGATGTAATAACCATGAATATTAATGGTTTGAACTCCGACCTTAAGAGACAGAAGCTAATAGACTGGCTTGGAAAACACAAACCCTTCATCTGCTGCCTACAGGAAACACACCTCAACATTACAGATAAAAACGGGCTGAGAATCAAATGATGGAGACATTATCAGTCAAGCTCTAATTCAAAAAAAGCAGGGGTTGCAATCCTAATCTCAGATAAAATTGACCTCCAAGTGCATACCATAAAAAG